TCACTGACTTATGGCTTATGCATCATGCATTCTGGTATTTGATGTGTGTATTCATACTTGGCTTAAGGATATATTGAATACTTAAAGTTCTGCTTATTAAGTACTTTCTGTTTAATAATGAAGTGATTGAACTTAAATATGATGGCAAGGATGAGCATAAAAAGTTTTTATTTTCTTTTTCGTTCAATATATTGAATGTGAAATATTCAAATAAGGGAAATAAGTAATACAAATATGGTTTATTTTTTTGCTTTAGTTTTTATTAAGTACTTAGCCAAAGGAAATTGAATATATAAAAGGATTGAGTTTAATGGGAGAATTTATAATTATTTGGCCATTATGAAACACACACACACACAAAATGTTATATTAGTATAAGCTTTTTATTAGTTATATGTAGTTAATTAAAAGATTGATGTAGATATTTTTATTAGTTAAATAAAGGAATTTCTATTAAATATTACTTTTCTATGGTCTTTGGTCTGGTCTATGGTCTGGTCTATGGTCTGGTCTATGGTCTGGTCTATGGTCTGGTCTATGGTCTGGTCTATGGTCTGGTCTATGGTCTGGTCTATGGTCTGGTCTATGGTCTGGTCTATGGTCTGGTCTATGGTCTGGTCTATGGTCTGGTCTGTGTCTAGTCTATGGTCTAGTCTATGGTCTGGTCCATGGTCTGGTCTCTGGTCTAGTCTATGGTCTAGTCTATGGTCTGGTCCATGGTCTGGTCTATGGTCTAGTCTATGGTCTAGTCTATGGTCTAGTCTATGGTCTGGTCTATCGTCTGGTCTAGTATAGAAGAGAAAATCTACTTTATATTTTAATCCATTTTTGTGACAGACAGACAGACAGTTTAATCCACTTAAAGGACACTTTTTCTAATTTTTTAAAATCTTTAAAATATCTGCAACAAATCTCTTTTGTACAACACTTACAAATTCTAATTTGTCACATGATTCTCTTATACATTTTTAACATCCACCCTACGAAAATACTTTTGACAAAAAAAATTCTATAAATTTCTTTCATATACATATAATTCCAGTTATACTAAAATTAATATTTAATATTGTATAGTGTTAAGCTTTTTATATGTACAGTGTCACTCAGAATATGTTACATTTTTTTCCTCAATTTCATTTCACTTTTAAAGCCATAGCAAGCAATTCGTTTATTCTCCTTTTCTCACATTTTCCCTAAAACAAGAAAAAATATTATTTTCCATAATCTTTTTTTTTGTTTTCGTTTATTTTTTGTGCACTGAACACGCTGACACTGTGTTGACAATCCAACAACGACAGAGTGGCATAAGGTCACGAATTTCATTAGTTTTTGTTATATTGTTTGTAACGCTTTTCAACATCCGTAACGTGTAATACAATACTGAAAACTCAAACAGAGCAACAGACACAGAGAATTAACAAATAACTGGTAGAAAAAAAAAACTTAATAATATATAGAACATTTGCAACATGAAATACAATACAATTTATAATATTCACTCAACTACTTTCGCTGCTGAAGCAATTTCACTGAACTCTATATAACACTTATATATGTGCAGTTGTATATAAGGTACATAATATATTAAAGAGTTACGTTGGTATTCGTTTGTCTTAAACATGTCGAAGTTAAAAAGGTTATTTGTATTTTACTGGTACTTGTTTGTATTTGTGAAAAATTATTGATCAAACATTAAACGAGAATATTGTTAAAAAAAGTAAAAATTAATTTAAGGGTTGCCAGGTTTTTTACAAATAAGAAATGCGAAAAAGTCAATTCTATAGTCTAGTCTACAGTCTAGTCTATAGTCTAGTCTATAGTCTAGTCTAAAGTCTAGTCTATAGTCTAGTCTATAGTCTAGTCTATAGTCTAGTCTATAGTTCTATCGTCTAAAATATATATTCTAGTCTATAGTCTAGTCTAGTAGTCTATAGTCTTTAGTCTATAGTCTTTAGTCTATAGTCTAGTCTATGGTCTAGTCTATAGTCTAGTCTATAGTCTAGTCTATAGTCTAGTCTATAGTCTAGTCTATAGTCTAGTCTATAGTCTAGTCTATAGTCTAGTCTATAATCTAGTCTATAGTCTAGTCTATAGTCTAGTCTATAGTCTAGTCTATAGTCTAGTCTATGTCTAGTCTAGTCTATAGTTCTATCGTCTAAATATATATTCTAGTCTATAGTCTAGTCTACAGTCTAGTCTATGGTCTAGTCTATAGTCTAGTCTATAGTCTAGTCTATAGTCTAGTCTATAGTCTAGTCTATAGTCTAGTCTATAGTCTAGTCTATAGTCTAGTCTATAGTCTAGTCTATAGTCTAGTCTATAGTCTAGTCTATAGTCTAGTCTATAGTCTAGTCTATAGTCTAGTCTATAGTCTAGTCTATAGTCTAGTCTATAGTCTAGTCTATAGTCTAGTCTATAGTCTAGTCTATAGTCTAGTCTATAGTCTAGTCTATAGTCTAGTCTATAGTCTAGTCTATAGTCTAGTCTATAGTCTAGTCTATAGTCTAGTCTATAGTCTAGTCTATAGTCTAGTCTATAGTCTAGTCTATAGTCTAGTCTATAGTCTAGTCTATAGTCTAGTCTATAGTCTAGTCTATAGTCTAGTCTATAGTCTAGTCTATAGTCTAGTCTATAGTCTAGTCTATAGTCTAGTCTATAGTCTAGTCTATAGTCTAGTCTATAGTCTAGTCTAGTCTAGTCTATAGTCTAGTCTATAGTCTAGTCTATAGTCTAGTCTATAGTCTAGTCTATAGTCTAGTCTATAGTCTAGTCTATAGTCTAGTCTATAGTCTAGTCTATAGTCTAGTCTATAGTCTAGTCTATAGTCTAGTCTATAGTCTAGTCTAGGTCTAGTCTATAGTCTAGTCTATAGTCTAGTCTATAGTCTAGTCTATAGTCTAGTCTATAGTCTAGTCTATAGTCTAGTCTATAGTCTAGTCTATAGTCTAGTCTATAGTCTAGTCTATAGTCTAGTCTATAGTCTAGTCTATAGTCTAGTCTATAGTCTAGTCTATAGTCTAGTCTATAGTCTAGTCTATAGTCTAGTCTATAGTCTAGTCTATAGTCTAGTCTATAGTCTAGTCTATAGTCTAGTCTATAGTCTAGTCTATAGTCTAGTCTATAGTCTAGTCTATAGTCTAGTCTATAGTCTAGTCTACTATGTCTAGTCTATAGTCTAGTCTATAGTCTAATCTATAGTCTTGTCTATAGTCTAGTCTACAGTCTGGCCTATAGTCTAGTCTATAGTCTAGTCTATAGTCTAGTCTGTAGTCTAATCTACAGTCTAGTCTATAGTCTAGGTCTATATTCTAGTCTATAGTCTGGCCTATAGTCTAGTCTATACTCTAGTCTATAGTCTAGTCTGTAGTCTAATCTACAGTCTAGTCTATAGTCTAGTCTATATTCTAGTCTATAGTCTAGTCTATAGTCTAGTCTATAGTCTAGTCTATAGTCTAGTCTATTTTCTAGTCTAGTCTATAGTCTAGCTTATAGTCTAGTTATAGTCTAGTCTATAGTCTAGTCTATAGTCTAGTATATAGTCTAGTCTATAGTCTAGTCTATAGTCTAGTCTATAGTCTAGTCTATAGTCTAGTCTAGTCTATAGTCTTTAGTCTATAGTCTAGTCTAGCCTAGTCTATTGTCTAGTCTATAGTCTAGTCTATAGTCTTGTCTATAGTCTAGTCTGTAGTCTAGTCTATAGGCTTGTCTATAGTCTAGTCTATAGTCTAGTCTATAGACTAGTCTATAGTCTAGTCTATAGTCTAGTCTATAGTCCAGTCTATAGTCCAGTCTATAGTCCAGTCTATAGTCTAGTCTATAGTCTAGTCTATAGTCTAGTCTATAGTCTAGTCTATAGTCTAGTCTATAATCTAGTCTATAGTCTAGTCTATAATCTAGTCTATAGTCTAGTCTATAGTCTAGTCTAGCCTATAGTCTAGTCTATATTCTAGTCTGTAGTCTAGTCTATAGTCTAGTCTATAGTCTAGTCTATAGTCTAGTCTATAATCTAGTCTATAGTCTAGTCTATAATCTAGTCTATAGTCTAGTCTATAGTCTAGTCTATAGTCTAGTCTATAGTCTAGTCTATAGTCTAGTCTATAGTCTAGTCTATAGTCTAGTCTATATTCTAGTCTATAGTCTAGTCTATAGCCTAGTCTAGTCTATAGTCTAGTCTATAGTCTAGTCTACAGTCTAGTCTGTTGTCTAATATATAGTCTAGTCTGTAGTCTAATCTATATTCTAGTCTATAGTCTAGTCTATAGTCTAGTCTATAGTCTAGTCTATAGTCTAGTCTATATTCTAGACTATAGTCTAGTCTATAGTCTAGTCTATAGTCTAGTCTATAGTCTATTCTATAGTCTAGTCTATAGTCTAGTCTATAGTCTAGTCTATAGTCTAGTCTATAGTCTAGTCTATAGTCTAGTCTATAGTCTAGTCTATAGTCTTAGTCTTTAGTCTATAGTCTAGTCTATAGTCTTAGTCTTTTATCTTAGTCTTTAGTCTATAGTCTAGTCTAGCCTAGTCTATAGTCTAGTCTATGGTTTAGTCTTTCCAAAGCCGTTAAAATTTCTTGTTGTGATTTATTAATGTAGAAGTTTTTGTAACTTTCCTTATATTACTCCTGCATTAATATCACTCATACGCTCCCTGTGACAAAAAATTATTTTTTAAATGGTAACGTTTCCTTACAAAACTAATATGGCAACTTTTTGGATTTTAAACCTATTTATAGTTTATTGAGTATACAATAGAAATATTTATGCTAATAACAAACAATTTACACTATTGTAAAAAAAAAAAAACGCAAAAACAAATCTATGGTTTATATTATTAGTTTTTTGCCATTTACCAACAACTTTGGTTGTCAAGGCTGCCATAGTTGTTGTCAAACAACTTCCTATTTACATGCCTACCGAGAAAAAAGAAAATAACTTAAGAAATTTATATGAAGTAGGGGTTTCCTAATAACTTAACAAGTTGGCAAATTATTAGTACGATTTAGGCTAGAGCCGCGTGCGGAGACAACAATTTTTTTGGTTAATACACCAAAAAATATTTCGTTTGTCAAACGTTAACGTTGGCACAAACGAACGAGTTAGTAATAATTATAGGATTAATTACCTTAAGTGAAGTGTACGAGGCCAGAAGGCAACACAATTATGCATTGGGATTGGGATTGGCATTATGATCATCATTGGCATAGACCATGGGATTCTTATCGCTATCATTACAAATGTCCTTGGCGCAAACGTATGTGGTCTTCATTAATTGATTTCGATTGGGATTTTCATCATTTCGATTGTTATCATCAAATGCCAGAATGGTGTCATAGATCCTGTTTGACGGGTAGAGTGTATGTGGAAACGGGTGAGGAAGAGGATAGCTGTGGCAAGGGTACTTATAAGATTGTTGTGGATGTACACCATTTCCGAGCGGATGAATTAAAGCTAAAGGTGAAAAACTTTGATACTTTAATATTAGAGGGCCAGCATAAAGATGAGCGGGCCCAGAAAACACCAGCCTTGTGTATAACAAAACAATTTGTGCGTAAATATAAACTGCCGCGTAATTATGATGCCACCTTGGCCAAGGCCACACTTTCTAAGGATGGCATTATCAGCATCATAGTGCCTGCTCCTCCCGCTGTAGATGATGTAGAACGAGAAATTGAAATACAAGCAACAGAAAGCTATTTTGGTTCTGTCGAAGATAAGGACAAAAGCAAAGCTTTGGAAGATAAAAAGCAGCAACAGTCAGCTGAGGAAAATAAAGAAGAAAACTAAATTGGTTTTTCTTCAGAACTGTCAGTTATTTGCTAACAAAAATGGAAATTTTATAAATCTTAAAAAAATTTAATATTTAAATTTCTAAGCACTTTAAGCGTAGAGAAACAATTGCTTTTGGCCACCACTGTAGTAAACAATTTTGTAGTTCAATTAAACAGAACGTTCTGGCAAACCCCAAGTTAAACACTAAAATAGTGTTAAACAAACTGTTTTCATATTAAGAAGCAAAAAAAAAAAAAAACAAATCACCTATAAAAAATTTTTAAAATAGTTCAAGTAGCTTTAGATGTTTAAGAACAAAAAAATAGATTAATTAAAAACAAATTTTACAGAGCGTTTAAAGTAAAATAATTCTCATTTAGTTAAGTTAAATGTGTTAAATTTAGTTTATAGCAAAAATTGTTGACTAAGAAAATGAAAAAGAAGGCATTTCGGCAAAAAAATATATTCAATTGATCCAAAATAAAAGTGTTTTTATTTGTAAAAAGGAAAGGAGTTTCTGATGTAATGGAGCCTGAAAAAAACACTATTGCAAAAACTTATTGAAGCTTAAATTTTGGCTCAAATTTACAGCCTTCATTAGGTTTCAAAGGAAATGAAAACTTTACAAAACTGATGGACTTGCAAACAAGTTTTTAAAACATCATCCAAAAAACATAGACAAAGAAACTATTTTAGAAAATTACTTGGGGGTTTAAGGTACAACTTTCAAAATGAATGTTTCTGTTTTATTTGTTAACAACTGAGAACAAGTTTGCAAAAAAAACCATTCAAAAAGGACGGAAATGGGACATAAAAGTAAAAATGTTATACACGAATATTGGGAATCATATATTATCAAATATCGATGTCAATTTTTCAAATTTCAATTCTAAACAATCTACATTCAAATTGAATTCTTGTGGAAAAATTTAGCCCTCCTTCTCTAGTCTATAGGTCCTTACAGACAGATAGATGGACGGATAGATGGTTTTAGAATCAAACATATTTAATGGCAGGCAGATGGACAGACATGGCTAGATCACCATAAAATGTAACATGTACACAGAATATATGCATTTGTTGGCTTAAAGATGGACGGACAGACATGGTTAGTTTTCAACAGATAGATTGACAGACGGATGACCAGACATGGCTTAGAACGTAAAAGAATCCGTAATAGAATGTATAATCCCTATAAGGACAGATAGACATAAAGACAGATATTCCTAGAAGGTTTAAGAATCAAATAGATTTAATGGCAGAATATTTGCATTTTTTTGGCCTAAAGACGGACGGACAGACATGGTAAGTTTGCAACAGATACATAGACAGACGGATGAACAGACATGGCTTAGAACGTAATAGGATCTGTAATAGAATGTATAGGCCCTATAGGGACAGTTAGACAGACAGACAGACAGACAGACAGACAAACAGACAGACAGACAGACAGACAGACAGACAGACAGACAGACAGATAGACAGACAGACAGACAGACAGACAGACAGACAGACAGACAGACAGACAGACAGACATAAGGACAGATATTCCCAGAAGGTTTTAGAATCAAATAGAATGCACTCTTTGGCCTAAAGACGAACGAGCAGACATGGTTAGTTTGCAACAGATAGATCGACAGACGGATGAACAGACATGGCTTAGGTCGTAATTGGATCCCTTATATACATGAGCATATACTTTTGTGGATCTACATACTGGCAGATAGATAGCATGTAGTCCAGCTATAGACAGACAGAATGAATAGACAGGCTAGTTTACAACAGACTAATAGAAAGATGGACAGACGGACATGGCTAGATCCTCTGAAGAATCTGATAAGGACACATAATATACAAACTTCTTCAGTTACTATAAACCACATTTTAAGGTATTACAAACCGAATGACCAAATCTGTATACCACTCCAACTCTTTTTTCAATGGTAGGGTATGCAAAGTTACTAAAGTTTTTAGAAATACCAAAAAAAAAATCTGTTTTCCCCGAATACCATACCATCGAATATCTCAAAATTGTCATCATATTTAGTTAATGAAACCATGTGTCCCTCTTTGAATTTCTTTTTTTTTAGGACATTTTCTTTTTACGACAACTTCAAAAAATTTTAGTTATTTTTTCGACCATTTTAACACATGTTCACACAAACATCAATGAAAGTATTTGAGTGCACTTCCTTCAAACGAATATATTGTCATTTTATTTGTAAGCAAACAAAGGCCTAGTATTTCCATTTAACTTATAAAGCATCATATGAATGAAATGTGACAAACCAGAGAGTTTTCTATTTCATTTGCAATACTACTCTCTTTACCAATAAAGGTAATTTGTGCAAATTTTTGAATCTCATTTCATGAGTTCATTCTGAAACCATTTCATGAGTTCAATCTGAAATCTAGTCTATAGACTATTCAGTAGTCCAGATTGTAGCGTAGTATTGTCCAAACTATTCTAGAGGTTGGCCTAGTCTAGTCTAGAGGCTGGCTTTTAGCCTAGTCTAGTTTATAGTATAGTGTATATTAGGCTTCACGCAATATTTTTGAAATTGTGATATCATACCTTTTATGACAGTTTTTGGAACAGCGCTAATATTGGCGTAATTATTTTGTTAAAATTAGCATCTGCATATCTACGGCTAAAATACCGATTTTGGGCGACATTTTTTTATAGTCCGAAAACTGCTGTACATATTTCAAATCTGACTTTAGTATACAGGAAAATTGAAGATATATAAACTTAATTTGACAGAATTTAGATGCACTATAAATGCATAAGAGCAAAAGAAAAACTGCATAATTTCCCATCAAACAATGGTGTTTTTCATCATCATCTCAGAATTTAATAAAACTCCATTCAATTAATGTTCCATATATAACTTGTATAATGACAAATTTTGAGTCTTATAACTTTCCTGGTTTTCGAAATATAGCGTTGTAAAGTTTAAAATCTGAAAATTTAAAGTCTCATCACATCTAAAGGGTTAATGATAAAATTTTTGTTTTTGCACCATTTGTCTCAGCAAAAAGCATACTTGGTTATGCACAAAGAACAAAATTTTTTGAAATATTTTTTGAAAAAAGTGCATTTTTGGATAATACTAAATGCACTTTTGAAGCATTATAAAAGTGTGAAATTAAGCTCATTCTTATTGATTTTTCCTATAAAATCAATTATTAAAGCATGATTTCCTACAAATTCTACAGTTTCTGCTCTGTAAAAAATGTCGCTCAAAATCAGTGGTTTCCGCCTCACATATGTAGAGGAAGGAGTTGGAATTTTGAAAAAATTATTACAGCATACTAATTACACAGAAAAAAATGGAATTCAAAATCAAACAAAAAATTCATAAAGCCAAGTATTTTTTTTACTAAAATAGGACCTATCACAAAATTCGTAAAATCAAGTACTCAAATTCGTAAATTCTTTATTGAAAAAATTTCAGGATTTTTCTTATTAAAATAATATACTATTTACGAAAAACATTAATAAATAATCGCAACATTTCCAAACAATTATTTTACTGAAACAATAACACAAGTTATTAGTATTTGTACTGAAATTCAAGCAAATATGTTATCTGAAACAGTTAAATTATTTATTGTATTTTGGCAATAATAATAAGAAAATTTTTTATTGAATCTATAAAAATTTTGTTAAAAAATATATACTAAATTTTAACAAAAATTTTACAAAAAATATTTAAAACTAAAAGTAGTAAAAAATTACATATATACTTACAACATTTTTAAGAAAACGTTTCTACCCAATAAACATCGATTCAAACCTGTGAATATTTTTGAAAATTTTCTTAACTAAATAATGTATTTTCCAAATTGTTTTCAAATTTTAAAGTTTAGCCTTTGAAATAAACATGATAATTTCAAAAAACGCTTAAAAAAATATAATGTGTGATATTTATAAAATTTTCAAAGTTTTGTTTTAATTGAACTTAGAAAAGTTTCTTTCAAAAAATAAATTATTTTAGAAAAATAAAATCAGAACATTTTTTCTACAGCAAGGGAGCGAAAAAACGTTAAATATAGGAGAAATAATCTGAGATATAAAAGAAAAATATGCTAAAATAAATGTATGAATGTTTTATTTTCAGGTGATGTAAAAAAATATATGAATTTTGCAATAGTTAGCATTATAATTAGGGTTTGAAATATGTATGAAAATAATAATAAAGAATACTTGAAATACGTTTGAAATTTTTTTTAGTTTCAAGCTTACCTCTAGCCTTTTTTTAAATTTGAAATACATTTGAAAAATACGTTTGATTTCTAACTGCCTTTTTGTTTGAGAAGGCCATAATTTTCCATTTGAAAACAAAAATTTTCAAATTTGTTCTCAAAGGCTATGTATGAAATTTGAATAGGTTTTCAAATACACATTTACATCATTTCAAAGGTTTTTGCTTATTGGGTAATTCTAGAAACTATTATTTTGTACTGTGAAAACTGAAACACTTATACATTAAATGTTATAAACCAAATAAGAATTATATCAATTCATTTTAGTACATTCCAAAACTGGTTTTATTGTTGTATTCCATATGCTGACATAAAAATAAAACTCAAACAAAAACATTTATTGAATCAGTAAAAATATTTACTGAAAGTTAAATTTATTTCAATAAAGTGTTTGTTAGAAAATATTTTCCTTCTGTGTGAACATCAAACAAATTCGTTATAAACCCAAATAAAAATATTTATAAAAATCGAAATTAAATTTAAGCAAACGATTGTTAAGAAAAAAAAATTGTGCATATTTTTTTCTGTGTACTGATACAAAAAACCTTCTAAAAAGTTGTGATATCACAAAAACGGGAAACATTTTATTTTTTGAAACGAAGCCTAGTGTATATACTAGTCTATAGTGTTAGTTAGTTAGTTAGTTAGTAGTTAGTTAGTTAGTTAGTTAGTTTAGTTAGTTTAGTTAAGTTTTAAGATTAGATCGTTAGTTAGTTAGTTAGTTAGTTAGTTAGTGCGTCGTTAGTTAGTTCGTTG